ATTCCCCAAACGTCTCGCAGCGCCTAACGCCTTCCCCGACCCAACTAACATCTTGGGGCAGAAACCGACGTCACCATCGCGCTCGCGCCTTGCCAAAACCCCGACTTCAACCTTTGGTTTGCCTGATTCTGCAAGAATCGGGCGCGTTACTTTATTCTCCCCCTAACACCTTCACCTTCTCCATCGTCTTCTTCGTCACCTCCGAGTTTCTCCCCTCCATCATCCCCTTGCTTCCTTCCTCATTGTCTTTTGCGGCTAACACAGACTGCTGTGGTATGGCTCGACAACATCCAACCTCAAAGATAAAGGACTCCTGGTTGTCGGGCCCTTCCGGTTTATACTCTCCCACATGCCAGTTGGGAGAGGTCCTAGGGAGTCCCCGCCTGCTTTGCACCCGCCCACTATCGGGCGTTATATTAATAAAAAAAAAGGAAAAAAAGGTAGCAAGAAAAAACATAACGTCCTACCCCAGGCAGCGAACATCAACGCCCGTCAGTGCATGATGACCTACCTAGAGAGTAAAATCAACCAGCAACAAATGGAGGACCTGGACAAACCAATCACCCTAGGGGAACTGCACGCTGCCTTGTCCCAGATGGGAAATGACAAACACCAGGAATCAAAGGCCTGTCCAAAGAATTTTGGATCCAGTTCGGGCCCACACTGGGAAATGACCTCCCGAACTTTATTAATGACAGTAGGGAAAAAACAGTCCTAGGTCAATATCTAAGCACCAACGTAGTCTCACTATTATACAAGAAGGTCGACAAGGAGGAACTTAAGAACTACAGACCAATCTCACTTCTCACAACACCCTACAAAATCCTAGCAAAGGCACTAGCAAACAAAATCATAGAACTAACAGACAAATGCTTTTACATCGACCAAGCAGGATTCATTCCGGGTTTATATATTTTGGATTATGTGATGGCTCTAAACAAAGCTGCAAAGAAGATCACAGAAAAACGGATGCACGCAGCGATCCTATTCTTCGATTTCGGAAAGGCCTACAATCAAGTCAATTGGGACTTCCTACACAGTTGCATGGAGAAGATGGGAGTCGGCCCAAACTTCAGAAAGTGGGTAAAAATACTCTATGGGGATGCCACGGGCAGGGTGCAGATAAACAGAATACTGTCAGAATCCTATCCGATATCAAGATCGGTCCGTCAAGGCGACCCCCTCGCACCCCCTATATTCCTGTTCATAATGGAAACCATTGGATATTTCCTCTGCAAGGACCCATCCATAGGCCACATCACTGAACAAAACCACAACCCCCTCCACGACTTCGTTCTCCCCACCGCACAGATGTTCGCAGATGATCTCACGGTCCTCATTCGCGCCAGTAACTCCTCCTTCCAGGCCCTGGCCCACGCTATGGAAGCCTTCAGACTCGCCTCAGAAATGGAGGTAAACTGGTCGAAAACGGAAGGGTGGTGGCTTGCAGAAGGCACCCCCCCCCAACCTCCAGACCCAACCACCCCAATGTCATGGACCATAGGCGACCAAGCACTCCGATACCTGGGCATTATGGTAAACGGAGATGGAATTTGGCAAGGCATGGGAGAGACTTTAATTGCCAGAACAATAACCCGTCTAGCCACCTGCAACAAAGCCCAGGCCTCCCTGCTAGGGAGAGCCCTCATTATCAACACATCAATGTTTTCCACTCTTTGGTACTTGGCCTCCATATGGTCCCCTCCCAACGACGACCTGAAGAAGATGAAGGCTAGAGCCAGGTGCTACCTGTGGACTGGCGACCCCAGCAGAACCACCTGCATAAACAAGGTGGATTGGCAAACCGTCATCAGGAAACCACACGAAGGCGGGCTAGGTATAATCGACCCTAAAGAAGCGATCGCCCTCCAGATGAAATGGATAATCAAAGTCCTAACCAAACAAGCCCTCCCGTGGACTAAGATGGCGATAGACAACATAAGAAATTTGGCACCGGTAGCATCCCCTCCAAACATGAGTGGACTGTTTTGGATCATGGCAAAGGAATGGTCCGGAAGACCCACTAGGAGTACCAACCACGGGACCCCCAATCAGCCCCTCACTACGCCCATCCCCTACTGGTCACCGATCCTGAAGGCCTGACACCGACTGATGCCAGAAAAGAAAGGGTCCCCGAGCAACAAAGAAGAAGTCCTAAGACAGCCCCTGTTCTGCAATCCCTGGATTAAAGATACAGAGGGCAAACCATGGACTCTCCGGGCCAAAGACCGCAGATGGTTGTCTTGGGTGGAGAGAGGAGTATGAAAGGTTAAACATCTATGGTGTGAGGACCAACAAGAATGGTTAATTGTACAGGACCTCCGCACAACCTTAAAAGGATGCCACCTACTGACCAACATCTATGGT